GATAATTGCTTTATAATTGGAACATTCTGTTGGGTCTCCTTTCTTTGGAATGCACACAGATATGGATCGCTTCCAGTCAGTTGGTCGAGTTGGTCGAGTAGCTGAGTGAGTGTTTCCAGTGCTTCATCAGTTTGTTGATACATTTAAAGCTACTTCCCTACAACTCCCACTTTCCTCCCTTGATACTCAAAGAAACAGCTCACTGTAGCTTAAGAAGAAAAGAAAAAGAGGGATGGGGGGAAAAGAGAAATGCAAATGCAAGATATCTTTAGATCCTCAATCATTAAAGTCCCTCCTACCTTAACCTAGGCAAATAGGGTTCCACTCAAGCTTTACAAACGTTACACTAATGAACCACTTCCATGGAAAACGGGTGGAGAAAGAAACAGGGTCTAAGTGTCCCTTAAGCACAAAAAGCTGAGTAGATCTCAAGTAGCCGGTAAACTCCTTAAAATTCACATCCTACGACACTGCTTCAGAAGTCTGGTGAGAGCAAGAACTCACTCAAGTCCACACAGCTCCATGTGACAGTAGCCCAGCTGTGGGCTGCTGGGGTCCAGCAGTCAGCCGTGCAACCACAATGCTCAGAAAGGGAAATTGCATTTGAAGTGGAAACATTAGGAAGCTCTGTGACCAGTCAACAAATAATGAGCCTTACTGTGATTGTCCTCTCACCATATTTATGCAATCAGTATGCTGAATAAATAGAGAAGCTAGATTATATGAAGAATTCGCTTATCAGGATTGGAGGAAGGCTTATTAACAACCTTCAATAGGCAGATGAAACAGCCTTGTTTGCTTTAAGTGAGGAGGACTTGAAGCACTTGATGAAGATCAAGGATCGAAGCCTTCAGTATGGATTGCAATTCAGTGTAAAGAAAAACCAAATGCTCCCAACTGGACCAAAAGGTAAAATGATCAGAAAGGGAAAAGGTTGAAGTTATCAAGGATGGCATCTTGCTTGGAACCACAATCACTGCTGGTGGAAACAGCAGTCAAATGAGCCAAATGATGCACTGCATTGGGCAAATCGGCTGCACAAGACCTCTTTAAAGTGTTGAAAAGCAAAGATGTTACTTTGAGGATAAACTGCACCTGTATGTGAAAGTTGGACATTGAATATGAAAGACCCGAAGAAGAACTGATGCACTGGAATCACGGTGCTGGTGAAGAATATTGAAAGTACCATGGACTGCCAAAAACAAACAAACAAACACACAAACAAATCTGTCTTGGAAGAAGTATAGGCAGAATACTTCTTACAGGCAAGGAGAGCCAGGCGTCACCTCACAAACTCTAGATATGTTATCAGGAGAGACCAGTGCTTGGAGAAGGACAGCATGCTCGGTGGAGGGGCGGCGAAAAAGAGAGAAGTACCTCAACTAGAAGGATGGACACAGTGGCTGCAGCAAGGGGCTCAAACACAAGAACCCCGTGAGGCGGGCATAGGGCTGGGCAGTCTTCCTTTCCGTGCGCGCAGGGTGGCTACGCGACTCAAGGCACCTAGCAACAACAATTGGGAAGCTATGTCTTCACTGGTGGAGAATTCACTGAACAAAACAAGCTCCCCCCCCCTTTGGGAGAACCCTGAATTAAGTGGGCGGGTGGTGGTGGTGGAAGGGGGAGGGCGGACACCTGAAAGTCTCCCAACACACTCTAAGACAAGCAAGGAAGGAGATACGGTGGCACGGAATATGCTTGGCAGCAAACAGCCCATCAAGGCCCTCAGTAAAAGCGCTGAGGTAGCAAGTTTCTGAAGAACCCCCCCGCACCCCAGAGGAAGACCCAAACCTCCACTGTCCCTTCCTGAGTTACAGTCCCTAGTGTCCCCAACCTCAAGTCGCCCCCATTCTCGGGGCGCCCTGCCTTCCGCGAGCCTCCGCGGCCAGTCTCCCAGCTCGGCCCCGGTCGGTCGCCAGCTCTCGGGACCTAGTCTCCTCCTCAGTCCGTCCCACGGGGA